GGCTGAAACAAGAAAGAAAACAGCCACTGATAAAAAATTCTCTGGGCCTCTGGCACTGCAGGTCTGTTCATTCAGAGAAGGATCTCCAATCCTAACAAGGCATCTTCACATTATTTAAATAAGATCAAATTTTCCTGTGGTGAATATTCCACACAGTTTCTGAAGTTGATATTTAGCATGTGCCCCTTTGGAGTGAGGGATCCTTGAAAATGACATTCACTCCCTGAAAGCTAGATTTACTCATTTTCATCCAGAAGACACTGGCTTGCATCAAAGGCAGTCTGAAAAAGAATTCCAAAGAATGTTCAGGCTTACTGTCAGGAACTCTCAAGCATATTTTTCTCCATAAGGCTTAGACTTCTGAATAAAAAGGCTTGGGTCACAACCCTTTTTTCAGCTCAGATTCTTCCTGCTGTCAGTGTTTTTAAAAACTGCATAGGAAGAAATTGATAGGGTCAGGCTAGGAAAACATTATCCCACTTGGCCAGTTGTTTGGAACTTCATGACATACCGGCATGTAATGCCAAGTGAACTCTTCAGCATATTTCCTATAGCACAAAGCATGCTGTAGGGCAACCCTTTTCGACAGCAGCACAGAAAGCCTGTCACTTCTCTATTTCCAGGGTTGAGGCCACTTGGGTGAGGATTTGTAACTTAGGTTGCCGAAGTACACTAGAGTGGAGAAGAGTGAACGGGGAATTTCACAGTTTGCTATAGAAAGAACAAATGGAGAAGTATTCAAATTACAGTCATGCTGTCAAACTGTGTATATTCATTGTCCTTAGAATTGTCACAGCCTCTTACAGAAAGGAGAGTTGGAATGGAATTATTGCAGTTTTGCCCATTATACCTTCAAATGAATATCACAATTGGATTGGCTAGATGTTGATTCTAAAGTTTAGGGTCCTAACCAAGATCCTACAAGTCATAGAGGTGCTATTAGTATTATGGTTGGTCACACAGTCAGCCAGATATTTAGACTTGATTTGTCATTTTTATCCACCGATTGAGTTCTTCCCAAGGACCTGGGATAAACAGATGCTGTTGTTAAAGGTAGTGTCATAGGATGCAAGCTGTTCCAAGTAAAGCTGTCTTTTGTAATTGACTGGTGGTGATTTTGTCAATACCAATGTTATTCAAGTGGTGTTCCAGATGCTTTGGAATTGCACCGAAGGGACCTATTATTACTATTTGTACTACCTTTGTTTTCTTTCCTCACACTTGTTCTGTTTGCAGATCTTTACATTTTGTGATTTTTTTTCCCCAATTCTTTCTCTTCTCTTCTGCTATATCCAGCTATTACAATGTCCACTATCCAGATTTTTTTGTCTTTCTTATTAACAGTTAAATCTGGAGTGTTGTGTGGCAGATGCTTGTCTGTTTTTTTAGCTTTTTTGTTTTCTGATACTTTGTCTGTTTTGTGGTCCCACCAGTTGTTGCTTGCAAGCAAGTAGCATTTCTTGAAGATACGCTATTGAATTATTGTTGCTAGTATATCATGCCATTGTTTGCAATCATCTTGTGTAATCTTCTTGCAGCAACTGACAAAGTGGTCCATTGTTTCTTCAGCTTCTTTGCAGAGGGAACTTTTGCTGTCTGTTGCTATCTTCTCAACTCTGGCTTTATATCCAATTGTTCTTAGGGCTCAGTCTTGTGTAGCCAGAATTAGCCCTTCTGTCTCTTTCTTCAGCTTTCCTTTTCTTATCCATTGCCAGGTAAGGAAATTTCAAGGGCCAGAAATCACATATCCATAGACATATATTTTTAAAAAAACAGGCTATAACCTTAGAAGAATCTTCCCAAGTTCTAGTTCACAGTGAATATATTATACATATTTTTCATCTTATTTTCATTCAGAGACCCAACTGAAAAAATGTGTTGCTGAAAATTTACATCCTTGTTTCTACCCAGTTTTGGCAGTGCACATGACTATGGCCAGACAAATGGTGTCAAGCTGCATGTAGTTCACAGTAATGGATTGCCTACCAATGACATAAACTACACCACATGATAGTCAATATTACGGTATTTTCCCAGACTGTATATGCGTATGTTAATATTCCAGTCTTTCAAACAAGATTGATCATGGGGGTCTTTCTTATTTAATTTGCACTTGTCTTTCAAAAGGGGCATTACTTTAGTAAGTGAACAAACTGAACTATTTCATGTGCCTAGAACATTAATTATGCAAATTAAGAAGCATAAATTGATCTTGTTAGCATTTTAATTTTCGTCTTTAGCAATTGCATAGGGATGGGAGATTTAAACTCCTCAATGTTTTTTTGCAAGACTGGTGTGTATTAACACCCCCTCCCCATGATCAGTAAACCAGCCCACTGGTTTCCGGTGCTTTTGCTTTTCTTCCCTCTTCTTATACCACTGACGTTCTGATTTGTAAGCTTGTTCTTTGCTGTTAACTCACTTTTATTACTTTCTAAATGAAGAGAGCAAACATATCTAATATTCCCTCCTCTAGTCACTTTCCCCACAACAATAATCCTGTGAGGTGTGTTGGTCTGAGAGAGAGTAACTGGCCCAAAGTCATCTGGCCAGCTTTCATGCCTAAGGCAGGACCAGAACTTACTATATAGTCTCCTGGTTTCTAGGCCACTTCCTTAACCACTACCCCAAACTAACTGTCTTCCCCCAGCCTATCCTGCCATTTTTAAAGCACTCTCCTTTTGCTTCCTTTCCTGCCTCCCTTCAGCTCAGCCATGATGGGTGGAATGGGACAACTCACCATGGCCAACTCACCGCAGCCATCTTGCCGCAGCCAACTCACCCCAGGACAATTCCATGCAGGATAACTCAACGTGATAAATGTTATCTGCCACTGTTTCCTCAACATTATTTCCTTTGACAAAAATGGAAATAATGTCAAAACAGTAGCAGATAACATTTATTCCATTGAGTTATCCTGCATGGATTTGTCTTGCAGTGAGTTGTCCTACCGCTAGTTGGCTGCGGCAAGTTGGCCTCAGTGAGATAGTCTTGGCAAGTTGGCCACAGCAAGTTGTCCTAGACCCCATAGTGGGAATATCAGAATAGCATATCTGACTAACCTCTGTCTTCTCCTTTTCCCATAGGGAGGGGTTGGAAAAAAAGTTGAATTCTCTCTCAGATAAATGTAGACTTTCTCCCCACTGTTTTTATTCTTTACATTGGAAGGAAAAGGAAGGAAAATGGAGGGGATTCCACCTTGTCCATATTAAAAGAAGAATGTATAAAATATTTCATTTTCTTCAAGAGAAAACATAAAAACAGAAAACTCATAATTCACATTTGCAGTATAATCCATTGAAACATATTTTATCTCATCAAATGAGAAAACAAGGAAGTTTTCTTATGTACTGATGTATATATTTAAAAAGGTAGAGTCTCCTTGAAGTCAGATTGGAGTTCTGATAACTTCACGACTTCCCAGCCTAGCCTACAGACTGGATGAATTAATTTAGGTTGTTTCTGTGTGTCTATGTGTATATGTAGATAATACACATGCTCACAAATTCAAAGCAAGCAAGTCTTCAAACAGAAGAAAAACTGAAACATTTGTGTAGATGATATTGTGCTGCATTTCTGGACAATTTATTTATTCTATAAGCTATTAACCAAACAGCAACAAATATCTATAGTTCAATTTCATTTAAATTATATCTTATTATATAATTATAAAATTATATTTTATACACTTATTGCAACTTTTTAAACAGCAATCATAACTCAAAATAACTCAAAAATAAGACTCAAACTAGCATTAAGGAAGATTAAATTTCTGTTGTTGCAACATACAAGCCTCAAAAGGCAAGCAAATGCCAGAGAATGGGGTTGATTTTGTCTTTGTAATCTCATATTGACTCTGATTTATAAATAGGGCATTATAGGAACCTTGACATTTAACTCAAAGTCTGCAATATAATTTGATTCTTTTAATGAAATACAAAAGCTTTAAAAATATGTTTCTTTTCCTCGCTCTCCCCCATCACTGATTGACATTTGTTAGAACCAGCTGTGATATTAAATGCATTTTGAAAAATGCAATACAACTTGTTGGAAGTGCAGACTGTAATATTTACATCCAACTCATAGCCAGTTTAGCTTTTTTCTCTGGTGTTCTGACCCACAGGAAAACCACTTATCTGAAGTTGCTATTTTGAATTGGAAGAAAGTTCTTCATTATCATTTTGATAGTTATTTGATATATCAGATCATGCTACTTTAAAAAAAAAGACTAGATGAATTGAATCTCACTTATAGTTTAACCTTCAATACCCCAAGTGCCTAGTTATTGCTTCATATTTCTATATATATGGGGTTTTCAAAGAAAATACCTTAATACACATAGATAGAAAATATTGTTCGGAGATCACACAATAAATTCTGAACTGATCTATTGGAATATGATTTCTATCCACAATTGATGATTTAATGATACTCATAGTTTAATTAAGCATAGCCATCCACTAGTAAATAAAAGAAGGGCAGTAAGTCTAACTATTCCTTCCTTTTCACAAGAGTTAATATTAGATAGGTTTAGATATTAGATAAGATTAGATAGGTTTCTCCTTATATATTCAAAAGGCTCTCTGGATCAAATTGAGGGCATTTTTGTCCCAGAAAACCCAAACAAATCTACAATTATACTCCAAACATTCTATGTACTATTAAGTATTAAACAGGAAGTATGAATATGTATATTAAAAAGAAACCAATAAGAAGCAAAACTATTCCATTAAATATCTTTGCATTTTTATTCAAAGGTAATATATATGTAAATAAAAATGTAAATGTTCATTTGTTCAAAATCTTAAATCTCCGAAAGTTCGTCACCGATTGCTTTGAAATTTTGACACAAGGTTGCATTTGAATACGTGTGTGTTTTTATATACCTATGTTATATAGATGTCACACCTGTGACAGGTAAAAACATGCTTTTTTAAAAAACAGCGCCATCTGTTGGGCATAAAAGCAACACACGCTATGATTTCAGACAATCTCTATATCTGCACAGACAATGGAACAACAAAAAATATTGTATACCCACAAGCATTTTGAAATTAAACATATTACAAACGTGTGCTTTCTCTTTTCTTTCTTTTCCATTTAACCAGACTGAGCCACAGCAACACGTGGCTGGGTAACAGCTAGTAATGAATAAAAATGCAAAGAAGGCACATAAGTCACCTTATCACTGCAATATGTGATAATTTTAAACAGCCAAACTGATTTCTATCTAATGACTAAATTATGATGCATTCCAGAAAAAGGCCCATTTAACCTAATTTAGGCATTAGATAGAAATCAGTTTGGCTGTTTAAAATTATCACATATTGCAGTTTTGCACTAAGTGGATAAATGTTTGTGCTGCTCATTAAGGAGATAGCAAGTTTTCAATAGTGTTACACAACTCCTGATAACTCCTGATCATGAACCCCAAAAAGGATCAAATTTGGTACAATGTTGCATAAAATAAAGCCAGATCTTAAAATAATGTCTGTGATATAATAGAAATTACATCCATCTTGACATAATACAGAAGGCTATGATAAGGTGACTTGTGTGCCTTTGCTTACTCTCCAACTGAGAAGTGTTCATGGAGTGAAATCAGAAAAGTCAATATAGCAGCCATAATGATGTGATTGATAGTATACCTGTTTATTATGTGCATCACATATAGGACACACATTAAAACACCCAGAGCTTCAGTTGCACCACTCAGCCACCATTTTCAATTTCTTGACCACACCTGCATAAACCTTTGCCCCAGCTGCTAATTGTTCACAAGCCTCTCCAGTTTAAAGTACAATCTCAACTGATTTTTATTTATCATTAAGTCATACGTGTCTTGAAAATCTCTTCAAGTGGAGCATGCCTTTATATGGAAAAACATATTGACAACCCTTTAAATGGATGATTGCTTTTTATGAAGTAGGATATTTGAAACATCCTAATCACAAGCTTTTGTATTCACTTTACTTTTGTTGTAATATAATAACTGAAAATTGCTCAAATCATGCCATGAGTTGTTTCATCTGAGCAGATCTAACGCAGGAACAACCAAATGCTACTTTCTAAGACAATTTTTTCCTAATGGCCAAATATGTAAACAGACTAGTTATTTTTTGAGGAATAATTTAGTAAAGAACCATTAAACAATGACAAAAGGCACCACTAACAATCAATTTAGAATATAGGGATGTAGTTGTTAATCTTTGTTCTGTGCCTTTGAGAAATGCATTCAGCAATCCATACAATATTTCTGTTTTCTTGTTCCTTCAGTTTAACATAGGAATAAAAGACTCCAAAATGAAATTGATTGTTGAATGCCAGCACATTCATTTTTACCTGTACAAAAGGAGAAATGCATTATTTTTTTTTAAAAAAAGGACAACTGATTACCTGTAAATCATGTCTTCAAAAGAGCCTTACAAATGGCAGTAAATCTAAACGGATTTTCTTTTTGCTTTGCTCAGTAAAAAGCTGGCCTGAAGTTTAACCATATCTGAGCATTTGTGGCAATGCTTCAAATAGCTCACAGGATCATCAAAAAGAAACATCCACTCACAGAACGGGCAACAAGGGCAAGATTGTCAAAAGCAGCATTGTGGTATTGTGCCACTGGCTCCAGGCCTTTTCTATATGCATTATGACATTATATCTGTCCTATAGGGTGTAATTTATGGCATATCATTCTGATGAAAGAAGACAAGTTCTTATGTATGCCACTTACCACAAAGGTTAAAAAAATTTTTTTTATTAGAAGCAAGAAAGTTTGTGAATTTTAGAACAAAGCCCACCTCAGCCTTTGAGTCAATGTCACAAAAGTCCACACGGCAAAAGAGGACGGGTATTACATTAAAGGCTTAATGTATTAAAATTAAAGAAATGAATTATTAGTGTTATAACTTTGCGTTCATTTTATTATATTCATGAAACATGGACTTTCACACAAGATTACAGTGATTTCAAATGCTTCATGTCTCAGTCAATTCTCAGAATTTAAAATAAAGTAAATTAAGGTTTCTGTGAAGAAAATCAAATGAGCCCAGAGTCACCTTGTAGGGGGAGATGGGCAGCATAATAGATAGATAGATGACAGACAGACAGACAGACAGAAAGTAAGCAACCTGTTCTGTTGGTCACATAGGGACATGCAGAGACCATCTTACAATGCACATCTTCCAACCTACTAATCTAGGAAGTCATTTCCCAGTCTTGGGTACATCCACAACACATAATGTCTGTTGGGAGGCCCACGAAACAAAATGTCTCAGAGTACATTGAAAAGAAAGAGTTTGGGAAGACAGTGTTTGAGAACAGGATCAAATCTTACCTCAAGCTCAAAAAAAGCATCTTCTAAGGTTTTGTCACCTGTGCCACCTCCAACCATTTCAAAGCAAGCCTTGTATTCCTGAAAGCACAAGCAGCCACCAAATATTCTGTAAAACATTTAATTGCTTCTTTTTGTTTATAAGTGATCTTGGTAAATCAATTCTTTAAAGCATAATTCTACATATGTTTTATAAATTGCAAAACATGTTCCCTTCCTCTCTCTTTCTCTCCTTTCTTAAAATACTTCTTCAGGGAAAGTTTATAGAGGCCAGCAGTTCTAGTATCTCAGAGCTGCTCAGTCATTATAAACATAATCCAGCTAGGTGGATTGCTGGCCTGACTCATTTTAATGTGTGCACAATTAATCTTTTATGACAACATCATTACATGGACTGGGTTCACACATCATGCTAACCTATATAGTATGCTTGGTTTGGTTTTGATTTAATATATTGCATAAATCCAGCTAACATGATGATCCAGCTAACATGATGAACCATGCTTATAGTCAGGGTGTTATATGATCCCAAATAATTCTGATTTATTCAAGACATTAAGATGTATAACCTAGCTTAATGTCAAGTTTAACCTTCAGCATCAATTAATGGACATACAGTAGCAGAGAAATACAGCCATGTGAAATAAATTTGTCTTGCGGCTATATCTTTACTACATCATTTTATTAAATGATTTTGATAATTTGTAATTTTATGAGAGATCATACAAATAGAAAAATGAAATCTTAAGCTAAAAACATACTTTCTCTATTCCATAAAATAGAAATTTCTTTTCTTTGAAGCCACTATACATAAGTATTCTTACATTATGTTCAAATAACTAGCTCTTATAATCAGGTTCCAAGTGTTCAACAGTTGGTTGAAATAGAAAGCAGTACATATTTTCCTCTGAAAGCAGGACACCTATCCTCATTTTTTAAAATTTTCTTCTAACCTAGGATCCTAGAATGACTATTTATAGGATTTGGGGTTAATTCCTGTTTGCTGTGAAAACATGAAAAGAAAAATAACCTGAGTGTTATTCTTCAAGAAAAAAAATTAAAATGGTGGAAAGGCTATCAATAGGCCTCTTGAAGTGTCAGAGTTCTGGAAGCTTTATCAGAATTATATCTTGCCTTTAGCTTAATAGCTTAAAGTGGCAGGAAAGGTCAATAGCATCAAAATGCAGGCACAACTGGTGATCAAAACCCTGTCCCTATTTCATGAGCTGCATGTTAAGAAGAAGTGTGGCCTCAATCACCCAGTTGCATCCACTATTTTGACGCTTTTCTCCCCTGGATGTCCCCTTCCACTGTCCTCCCCTCAATTATATACTAATTCCATTATAACATCAACGGGTTTTAATAATCATATTTCATATCTCAGAAAAGCAACAACTACAAATGGAAATGGAAATAGCATCTCCACCATTGGCCAGAGAGCTCCATGCAGTTCCTTTAATGAAGCAGGTTCAATGTTATCCCTTTGTTTTGTTTAGAATCTGGTACACCACATATACCCTAAAATGGTATAGATAGAATATGCTTTCATCAGGCACAATTTGGAAATTACATACAGCATAGTAGTCTGCCACACCCTTCACTTGCTCATAATCCTCAGTCTTGGCGAGCATATCTAAGCCTTCTGGATACAGTTTGCCACAAGTTGGATACAGCTTCTGTCTGTCCTCTCTGCTTAGTTCTGTTCCAAATGAATTAATTGTGATAATAAATGCCCGCCGGTCAGCTTCAAACTGAATAAAATAAAGCATATGACAATTTTACATATTTTTTAAAGAATCATTCATAAATGCATAACTGTTACACTTAGTATTAATAATCCACTGAAGTCCTCTCTGTCTTTTGACAATGTTGATAAAAAAAACAGTTATAAGATTTTTCACCTGATTAAGATTTTTCACCTGCCCTTTAATTAATAATATAAAAGTTAAGTAAACACCTTTTCCAACCAACTGGGAACTTACATTATTTCCTAATAATGTACTGTATTCCAAAGGAAGAATTAAAAGAGCACAAATAAAATTAGTTCTGTGCAGAAATATCTGGATTTTTAACCAGTGAAATATTTCAAACCTTACTTATTAAAAAGAAATCAGTAGATTGTGTACTACAAAAGTGAATAACTTTTATGCAATCTTTAATTCTGGCTGCTTATGCCAAGGAGAGATGTCAACAAAACTATAAGAGAAGGAAGAGAATCCAGTGATGGATTGCTGATGGTTGAGTTTTTCTCAGTTTTTCAGTTTTCCAAATCTTTTTGATTTGAACTTTTGATCAATATCTCACTTTTCCATTCAGATTTTTTTTTAATTCCATTCCTATATGAGTTTGAAACTTTTTTAAAAAAACATATGTATGTATTTTTACACACTGTTCCAAACACGTTATTTGCAATTTTATTTAATATTACATTTTTATATATTTCTTTTTCCAAGCAACTCCCTCTTAATATAATGCATTCTTGTATGTTTGTTTCATTAATAAATTCATTTTTGTGCAACCTCTTCTGTTTAATAGATATACATTAATGTGGATTCACATAGACTATGTTCACAGGATACTAAATTATAGGATCAACAATACCATGAGTTCTATTTCCTGTTAGTTAAATCCATGTTCCTTCTGGCTGCATTGGACAATTGAATAGGATGTATGCAGTTCAGTTCAGGAAGTGATAAATGCTTCTTTGGAAAAGATTATTATGCTACCACATTGAAAAAGACAGTGTGGGTTCTCTTCTGAAGAGACCTAAAGGTTATTCAGAAAGTAATGGGACTCAGCTGTAGAGAAACCTAGAAGAAATAAATTATCTGGAACTATTCTGGTCAGATTTAGGTTCTTTTGTAGGATAGAAATAGCACCAGTTGCTCAAATGATAACTTTTCTCGGAATGTGGATAGAAGAAGTAGGTTGCATGGTTAGCACAAGTGGGAAAAAACTCCCAGTAAAAAAGCTGAATTGGCTTTTATGGCAGTAAACTTTAATGCATAACTATTGTTAGATAATTGACAGGTCTTATGATTTTATCTATAATACAGTGGAAGAAAAAAATATCAGCCAAAGTGGAATTTTTAATTTTTAACCTGACAAAGAAGACAGTTTAAGTAAAATGCAATTAAAAGGATCACTAAAAAATTAAAGAAGTAGCAAATAGCCTAGCCACATTAGTGCTGGAGACATAACAGATCCATTTTCACATGCAAAGAACACCAAAGAAACCATTGATGACAGCTAAAGTAAACTAATTAAATACAGATTGGTGGATAGAAAGTGAAGAAAAATACACTTACCTTTAATTAAAACTATGGAAGCAAATATATTTTATTACTTTTCTAGCCTCAAATTTCTTTTCAGGACTGTGTGTGTGTGTGTGTGTGTGTGTGTGTGTGTGTGTGTGTGTGTTGGGTAAATATAGATTTGGGATATCTGTGTTTAATAATTTAATAATAATCCGTTACCTTATCTAATTTAATCAGGATACCTAGAAAATCTAAAATAATTCAAGCCTATTTTTAAGGAAATTTATCTCTGCTATGTGTGCTATTACAATAATTGAATATACCAATGCAAAAGTATGCTGCATGCTGTGACTTAAAAATGGTTCCAGTCATCAAGATACAAAAAAGATGCTGAGACCCTAGAAAAAGGGCAAAGAAGAGCAACAAATATGATAAGGGGTCTGGAGGCTAAACCATATAATGAATGATTGAGAGAACTAGGTATGTCTAATAAAGAGAAAGCTTAGGAGAGACCTGATAGCAGTCTTCCAGTACCTGAGAGGCTGTCACAGAAGAAGACAGAGTCAACTTATTCTCAAAGCTACCTGAGGGCATTATAAAAAGTCACAGGTGGAAAATCATTAAAGAAAGATTCAACTTAGAACTAAGAAGAAATTTCCTAACACAACATTTAATCAGTGGAACAGCTTGCCTGTGGAAGTTGTGGATGCTCCATCACTGGAGGCTTCAGGAACAGCCTGGACAACCATTTGTCTGGAATGGTATAGGCTCTCCTGCCATGGGCAGGAAGTTGGACAAGAAGACCTCCAAGGTTCCTTCCAACCCTATTATTCTACGTTCTAGGATGGCTATGATAACAGATGTGATCTGATGAAGAAATATTACATTTTTCTTACCTCTAAAATAGGACACATTATATCTGCTGTAGTGCCACCTTCTTTTTTGCAGAATGCATAAAAGGCCTCAAGATAGGACTAAAAAAATAGAACAGAAAAATCATACATTTATTTGAAAAACCCTCTTTGAAAAATCAGAGATAGGATTTAACTGGAGTTATTAATTTTGATACGACTCCAGGATAATGGGAGAAATATTGGGATGACTTCTGCAACCTCATGCAAAAATGTAAGTTCACTAAACTTAGAGGGGCTTAGATATGAGCAAACCTGTATAAATTAGCCCCCAGAAAAAAAATATTGATACCTTCTGCATAGTTAGATGTACAATCTTCTATTATACAATTATTATTTTTCTATTGGCAACAGAGAGATTTGAAAGCTTCCATTTAAACATTATAGAGTAGTCAGAAAGATATGTTACAGAGTAGACAAAAGACATATTCATTCTGTTTTCTCCACATGTCATTTGCATCTGAACTTGCCTAAATTCTATATGTTGAATCCTATTCCTGAACAAAATGGTTTTGTGTGTGACAGATAATACCATAAAGTAGAACTGAAGTCACAAAGTACTTTTGTTTTTTTGCCACTGCCATTAATATATACATCCATCTTATTTGTACTTAATCTTTTATTGATATTTAGTGATAAATCTGCCATTTATTTTAAATCTTAATTTGCACAGATTTCTCTACATAATAGAATTCAAGTGGGGTTTACCTTGTACAGTTTGTTGCGCATGAGTTCAATATTCATTTCATCCAGGTCATTTTCAGATACACAATCTTGAAAAAAATCAGCTGTAGAGAATAATATTTAAAGTATATACCAAATTTCAAAAAAAAATCATTTATTACATTTTTAAACGGATGTTCAAATGCTAAGCAGTTTTTCTAACTATGAGAAAATAGAAGAGAATATAGGAAAAGTAACATGATTGTGGAACAATGTTAGTGTTAAATTCTCAGAAGAATTGTGACAAAATTAAAATGGTAAATGCTTTCTGAAATGCCATTCTGAAATACTAGTTCACTATGGGTGGCTCTTGTTGTTGTTGATCACATTGTTATAAGGAAAGTGATAAGTTTTATAGTGGCTGGGGTGTTGGCAGCACAGTGCCAATTCCAGAAACAGCATCTGAATATAGTTGTCTTTAAGAAACCAGACCATCCTCAAATGCTGATTATTATTGTGGAATAGGTTAAGAAAAGTGATAGAAAAGTTTTCAAGTTCCGTGACTGGTATATCAGATTTAAAATCTTGGAGAACTATCGTTGTTAGAGTACCTTCTCAAATTGCAACCTCCAGATGTATGGTTTTAAATTCTGAGAATTATTAGCAATAAATATGCTAGCTAAGACACTGGGAGAAGCGCCTGATTTCAGAAGGGTACCCTTACTGTAGACTGTAGTGATCTGAGTCAGTTGAAAGTAACTTTGGTTCATATGTCACCAAACTCACACAGAGACCTACTTAGATTGCAAATATGTATGTCCCTCTCTTGCACAGAAAACCAAATTATCACGATGGAGCTGTAGGAAATCTGAGAGTGTTAAAAGTTCTGTGTGACTGAAGGGAAGGGAAGGGAGGAGAAGGGAAGGGAAGGGAAAGGAAAGGAATACATACTGTCTCACCCTTTTTCCTAATTATTTTGTGTCAACAGAGATTTGAAGGGGGATGCACATCTATAGCTTTGCTCTTTCCAAATGTCACTGTGGGTTGAACTTATGTTACTTAAGATTAAGTTTTCTCTCCAGGAAGATACAACACATTCTGCAAAGAGTAGTTAAAATGTTAATGCAAAATATTTCTCTCTGAAGCATTATAAGAGTTTCATTCTTTGCAAAGGTCATGGTTGCTTGCAAAGCTGTTCCTGTGCATGCACACACTTCCATAGGACAGCCAGCAAAGAAACAAAACTGTGTATGGATATATAAATGGAGAAACTGTGAATGGCTTTCAAAGCAGCCACATAAGCCTTTGCAAAGGCTCTGACTCTAAGAGAGAAGACTTAAGCATCTTTGGTGGCTTAATATGGCTGTTAGAAGAAATTGATGAAACTGAAATAAGTGACATAACCTTTGCAGTAATGAGTTTGACTGTCCGGTGTAAGTCAATCTGCGAAGGCACCCTTTAAATAATGTTAATTAGGTTCTTATCACCTTAAAATAAGATCAGTAAATCTATTTCCCAAAGTGCTTTCTATATATTGGATGTACCAGAGAATTTTCAGATTGTTTGCAATACCCTAGCCATTGGAGATTGGAATATTAACTCGTATAGTTTGAATTCATTTTATTATTGCTGGATCAATTACTGTTGATTAAAGGAGCATATATTTCTCTTGGCTGTCTCTCTTAAATTTGGAATTATTTAAGACATTAATAATTTCCCACTTTTTTCAGGTATGGCATTGATTAAAAGAACCATCATATAACATGGAAAGGATGATGATCTGCAGCAATGGACTGTTGGTATATAGGTGGGTGGTTTTATTTAATTGATTTAATTAATTTAATTTAATTTATTTAATTTTATTTTGACAGAGAGGTAAGAAAGAAGACATTCCTCAATACTATCATGAAATTTTTGGTTGAAAACTTTTTTCCAGACTGTTTTTCTTTTTTTCCCTTTACTCCTAATTTTATTTTATTTTTATTATTATTAATTTTGCGAGTATATTATATTGTTAATACTATTCTATTCATTTTTTGTGATTTAGTATAATAAAAGATGTATAAAAAGCAAACATTCATACAAAATGGTTTAGCATGTGATCTACTTAGCTAAAGGATATGTTAAAAACTATTTAATATTTATGACTTCCCAATACTAAAACAATATGTGAGCAGTAATCACCAAGTAAATTAGAGCATAACAAGTTATGTTCATTTTGATGGGCCACATGTTTTTTTAAAGGAAGATGATATAATAGGAAATCTATGAAAAGATTAAGTGACGTACCTAATGGTGTGTCCACCAAGATTGCATTGAAGAGATCTGCAGGGTTTGGAGCAATGCTGACAGCTTCCATTTGCTCAAAGTTGCCCAAAGGATGGCACTTAAGAACCAATTCATCTATGGGTCTTTGGCGCAATGTACCAGTAACGAGGAGAATCACATTATCAATCATATAGCTATACCTAGTATGACAAGATAACATCAGTCAAAGATTGTATTGCGTTCTCTGAAAAAATATTTTAAAATCCAAGAGTCAGATTAATGTTAAATCTAATATCTTGGGCCTTGTAGCAGAATTTTAATTTTCCTCTTAGCAGGGATCATATGATAAAATGGAAATGAGAATTTTTTTCAGAATGCATGCTACATTAAACAAAATGACAGTATCATCTAAAAGGAATCTATTTTGCAGAGTGTTGCAAATTGAGAGCTGGGGAAGGTCCAACTCTTTTCACATTTAATTATCTACATGTGGATTTTGTGATCCTCATTCTTCCTCATCTCTCTATCAGCCATTCTGAAATTTATAACCTCCAAATATTTTGGACCCCATCTCTTACCAATCTTGGCCATAGCAGCTGAGCTGCCGATACTTGGAAAGCAACAGGCCTGGGAAGAGAATGTTACTTTATATTGATAAATAGGAGACACATGCTACTGACTCTTTAAGTCACATAGAAGTGTATTTGAAAACATATCTCTGCCCTTCTTCTTCTGTGGGTGATAAGTCATTTGGGTTAAATATTTAATTTTTCCTCTTAAAGTTTAATTAATACATGTTATAGAGAAGATATACGCAAACTTTCCTGTTTTTACATAAAACAAGGAAGTTAGATTGGTGACATCAGGAACTTAATATAATATTCTAAGAAATGAATTATCAATTGAAATTCATTTATTTAATTGTAGTATTATATACTGCTGGCTCCCAAACAGATTCTCAGCAGGTTACAAAAATACACATAAAATCTACTCCCACTAAAGCAGAACACCAAGTCCAAGTTACATTGGCATACTAGTAAGCAAATATTAAAACACGTAGGATATTTTAATTTATACATCTCACCTTTGTTATATTAACTCAAAGTGATGAACATATCCAACACAGCTTCCTTCTCCTATTTTCATATAACAACAATCTTGTGAGGGGGTTGGGCTGAGAGAGAGTGACTTGCCCAAGATCACCCAGCTGAATTTCATGTTGAAAGTAAGACTTATGGCCTCCGACTTTCTAACCTGATATCTTAATAGCCATTAAAGTCTCCAGTTTGTCTGCCTTTGAGGATAATACCACTCAAATCTCCAGGAGTAGGACATTTTACAGATATGGAGCATGTACCAAGAAACACCATGTTGCTTTCCATTGATTTGTTCCCGGAGTGGCAGAGGTGGGGATGAGGGAAAGAGATCTGTCTGAATTACAGCTCAGGGCAAATGCACTGGATGGAACAATTCTACTTGAACCAGACAGACTTGTTACTAACTACCCATGTTCCAACCATAAAGAGCTTTATACATTAAAAACAATCTTTGAACTGTACTGCTGGCTTCTAGTTTGTCTTCCAGGGCAATTGCTTGCAGAACTCTTTGTAGTAATCAATAGATTATGTTTCTGATTCAGAATGATAAAACACAGCAATTGGTTCAGGCATAAAATCATAATTAATAGTTGAGTAAAAAAGAAACGGTACTTCAAACAAAAGAAGGAAATCTATTATTACTATGGTGTTAAAGGTAAAGATTTCCTCTGTCCAGTCATGTCCAATTCTAGGGAGTAGTGCTCATCTCCGTTTCTTAGCTAAGGGAGCCAGCATCGTCCTAAGACTTTTCTATGATCATATGGCCACCATGACTATAAGCCAAGGCAACCAGAATGCTATTATCTTCCCAGCAAAGTGGTACCTGTATCTACTCGCATTTGCTTTCGAACTATTAAGTGGCAGGACCTGGGGAGCTCACCCCATCGCACAGCACTTGGGACTTGAATCCAGATTGTTAACTTTCCAGCTGACAAGTTCAGCGTCTTTAACCGCTGAGCCACCATGCCCCCTACTATGGTTAAAAGATAAGTATTTGAATGTATCAGTGAGGTTGGCATAATGATTAAGGTACCAGGCTAGAAACAAGGAGCCTGTGAGTTCTAGTCCTGCCTTAGGCCAAAAGCCAGCTGTTTGACCTTGGGCCAGTCAATCTCAGCTTTAAGAAGCAGGCAATGACAAACCACTTCTGAAATTTTTACCAAGAAAACTACAGGGAGTAGTCCAGACTGTTGCTGGAAGTCAACAAAGGGACAAAAATATTTACATATTTACTGCAATCAGAAAAAATCCATTACTAACAAATAGCTTGTCAGTGTTTTGAGCCTCCACATTAGTGTATTAAATTATCCTACCAAGTAATTTCTATTGCTTTTCTTTGAATGAGCATTGCATCACTCTCTGTCGCATAAAATACATATTTTTGGACAGCAGTCATTTATTTCAATGGAGTTTGAATGTGCTCAACATGCTCCATTTCTATTTAAATTTATTCAGAATGCATAGAATTTGTTAACCACACAACAACAACAGCAACAGAAACTATAGGAATCATTTGCTATCAATTTATTTCCTTTAAAGTATGCAAACATTATCACTTATATAAGAATTATTTTTCCATACATATATTAGACTCATGACAGATTTTGCTTTGATAGAATCAGAAGGGGGTTAAAAGGTCACTCTTTCTTGATAGGCATTCTCAGCAAAGGGACCACGTTGGATAGCAATTCATGAGGCAGACTAAGTTATGTTGTTGCCTAAGAGATAATGACAGATAACTCCCAGTCTCCAATCTAAGTGCATGTTACTCAGTCAGTCATTCTGACATTTGAGGGAAACAAAAAACCTTCTGTGCTGTAAAGATGTAGCAATAATGAACAGAGCTAACACATAATTGTTCTTTTATGAAAATCCAAATTAGCTGCCTAAGGGAAATGGTTAGGCTAAAATCAGTCACATTATTTTTCAAAGAAAGGTCTTAGAATGAATTGGCTTCATCTCTGGATCTGTTAACTTAAATAAATAAATAAGAAAACAATCAGACATTTTAGAAGTTTCTTTCAAGATTGCCATATCTCCCAGAATTCTTGTGGGTGCATAGCATCATCCCACATACAACTCATAGTAAAAATCTAAGATAAAGGCACCCTGATTTGAATTTGGTGATTGCATCCAGGCAGATTTCTTGGCAATGTTATGGACATGTCTTCCCTTTGTCTTCTTCAACACTGTGGCTAGCTTTTTACTTTCAGTCTATCCAACAGCCATGGAATTCCTAGGTGGTTCTCCAATCAAGTGATTTACTAAGGCTGATTCTACTTAGTTTCCAGCATCTCAAAGCAACTTTGCCAAATGAAAGAGGAACAAGATCTAATTTGCATGTTTAATTTTTAGATGCAAATTATTAATTAGTATATGTTCATAATCTCCAAATACTCAGAGCAATGATACAAAAAATGGTAAATAATTCTTCTAAAAATTAATATTTGCATGATAAAAACATGACATATTAAATAATTTAACTCAATTTAAAGTGGAATAGCGAGTAGTAAATGTTAATAATCAAATACCACCATCCCTGCTTAATCCCCAAACATACTGAATACTGTTCTACTTGGTTAGCTAAATGTTATACTTCTTAATTGGGTCGTAACCTTGTATTATGTAAAAGTGCCATGTCAGGTACCCAGAACATTACAGTAATGTAAGGATTAAGTATCCCTACTTCAATCCACGGTGCCAATGCCTGGCATAAAAGAGCAAATTTGTTGGCCTTTAGCTCCTTTTGAGTTCTTGTTACTACTGCAAAGGCAAAGGCTAAGGCAACCATGTGAATGCTTATAGGGCATATAGTAAAACTTGCTCACAATGTTTCCTGGCATGCTGTCTAGATGCTACAGGGTGTTTCTTAACCTTAGCAACTTAAGTTGGGTGGACTTCAACTCTCAGAATGTTGGCTGGGGAATTCTGGAAGTTGAAGTCCACTTATCTTAAAATTGCTAAGGTTGAGAAACACTGGCCTAAAGAGTAAGAATAATAGCACCTCAATGTTATTGTGAATGCTCCAAGAGGTATTGGGTGATTGGTTGTCCTTGCATTTGAATTTGCCCCCAAGCCCTGGGAGCAACATAGGATAAGAGCATTATGAGAAATTTAAATGAAAGTGAGACCCAACCACTTAATACTACCCAGAATGTGAATAATGATAAGGATGGTGGTAACTTCACTTACGTAACATAATTTAGAAAAGTTGAAAGTGGCTCAAAGGCGTGATTTCTAAAATACTGAAATTCTGTCAGCAGTTTGAATTTTAGTTTATCATCAATTGTAGAGACGGTGAGAGGGCCGGTTTCATTGGCCAAGAAGTTTCCATAATCGGTGGTTTGTAAGTGTAACTTCAGATCTAAAATAGAATTGAAAAGATAATAACAATAAATTCATTGTTTTCAAAGGAATGAAGTGACAAATCATACCGATTTCCCATTTCAATGACATGTATACAGGTGCACACAATATTTTATTTTTTAAACACTTCCTAGATATAAGCATCTCAAAACAATAATCATCATGATACCTTAAAGTACTATAATATCTTATTCAATAACAAATATAATATATTCATTAAAAAGCAGTGGGAAGAATTCTTTTCATGTTTTATATTAGGAAGGCCTGGGTGAAGAATATATTTTCAACAGACAGTTTAAAGATCATATAGTAGGCATTTTGGGATAGGGGAACATTCCAGAGTGTGAATGTTCCTGTGTTTTAATCTCCAATCTGGCTGTCAAGCCCTACGGGGCTTGCCATCTGGTGGTGGGCGCTCCACCAGCCAGCTGAGCAGCGCAGATCAGCTGGCGGCCACCCAAAGCAGGCTCCGACGCCCTATCTTCCAGCCAGTCAACAATGCAGCCGTGGAAGCCGGTGCCGGGTGCCTCGCCAGCCAACTGAGTGGGGGAAGGCTTGCGGCCGCCCAACACAAGCCCTGACCTCCTGCCTCCCAGCCGGCCACCATAGAGAGTGCGGAAGCTGGTACCGGGTGCCTCGCCAGCCAGCTGAACTATGGAAGGCTGCCAAGCCAAGTCAGCACAGCGGCTAGCCAGACTCTTCATACAACACGTCTACCGTTTGCATGGAGTGCCGCGACGAATAATCTCAGATCGAGGGGTGCCGTTCACGGCTCAATTCTGGCGTACATTCCTCCAACTGGTAGGGTCGTCCCAAGGCCTCAGCTCCGCTTATCACCCTTGTACCAATGGGGCTGCAGAACGAGCAAATGCCATGATAGAACGGTACCTGCGTAGCTATGTCACCTTCCAACAAACGGACTGGGTAGACCTATTGCCGTTTGCTGAGGTGGCGTACAATAATACAGTTCATAGCAGTACCGGGTTCACCCTTTTTCAAGTGGTGAACGGAGTGGAGTTTGTGCCCATCCCAGAATGATCCAAGGAAACAGATGGCGTACACACACCCCGGGCATGGATGACATGAGTGACAGGGCTGTGGGGGTATATAAAGAAAGCTCTAACACAAGCCAAAGCAGCAGCTAAGACACAGGCTGATAAAAAGAGGGCCGACCATAGGCCTTTTAGAGTGGGGGACTGGGTGTATCTCTCTACAAAATACCTTCGCCTACAGTTTCTAGTAAGAAGTTAGGGCCAAAGTATATGGGCCCATTCCCAATAGTGCAGGTAATCAATCCGGTAACTGTGCGGTTACAGTTGTCTCCGTTGCTAGGAAAGGTACATCCCGTGTTCCATGGCAGTTTACTGAAACTGGGGGCACAGAACCCCGGTAGGTAGTAAGGGCCCAGGGCCAGTCACCGGATCAGAGTATGAGGTACAGGGGGTGGTCGATTCACGGGTATGGCATGGTTGACTGCAATACCTCATACAGTGGAAAGGATATCCCCTTTCAGAGGCTTCCTGGGTGGGGGTGGCGGATGTCCATGCTCCTCGGCTCATACAAGCATTCCATCGGCAGTATCCAGAAAAGCCAGGAGGCACGAGGTGTGGACAGGTGCACTCACCATATCCATTTTACCTTTCAGGTGAAGACGTGGTAGAGGGGGCCGCATGTCAAGCCCTACGGGGCTTGCCATCCGGTGGTGGGCGCTCCGCCAGCCAGCTGAGCAGCGCGGATCAGCTGGCGGCCACCCGAAGCAGGCTCCGGCGCCCTATCTTCCAGCCAGTCAACAATGCAGCCACGGAAGCCGGTGCCGGGCGCCTTGCCAGCCAGCTGAGCGGCGGAAGGCTGCGGCCGCCCGAAACAAGCCTTGACCTCCTGCCTCCCAGCCGGCCACCGTAGGGACTACGGAAGCTGGTGCCGGGTGCCCCACCAGCCGGCTGAGCAGCGGAGGTCCAGCAGCTGCCCGAAGTAAGCCCCACCGCCCTGCCCCCCTGCCGGCCACCATAGAGGCTGGGGCCAGAAGGGCCACCATCCACCTAACCATTGAACACCGGCAGCCCGACCATGAGACCACCTACATCCCTCCTGACACTCTCAAGCAAAGCCAGCTGGACAGCGGAGGCCAACAGGCCAGCAGAGGGAGTGGGTTACAACAAAGACTGCTCTCTATAGAGAACTGCAAGGCACACAAGTACTTACTAGAGTCAGAGGAGCCGAAACGCGAGGCAGAAGCAGACAGCCATGCCTTGGCCGGACAGACAGGGAAACAAGGGGGCAGAGTTTTCTGGAAGGAGGGTCTGGGTCAAACATGTAATTTTATGCAAGCAGCTAGGCGGGTGGTGGTTTCTGGGTGGAGGGTGGGGTTTTGGGTGTGGTATCACTATAAGAAGCAATGGGAGCAATCCACTCCCAGTGCTGACTTTGTTTGTTAGGCATTAATAAACTTAACTTGCACTACGTTCCTGTGTTCCTGGTTTCTTCAGTCGGGACCACAATGGACCTAGATTTGACACTGGCTACAAATCATAATTTGTTTAGAGATTACAAATCTGGATCTGAAATTAATTTTGAAGCTATTTTCCAAATCACAGTTGGCACAAACAATAGCTTCTGTTGAATTCAAAAGATAAAAGTCTAAGTCAGAAATTAGAGAATGTATAACCAAACCAAGATAAATAATTTATTAGACATGTTGCTCTCTGAAAGCAGAAGATGCTCTTGGCCTCACATCTTGGTTTACAAAAGCCTGCATCCTAGCTAAAGAAAACTAGATAGAAATGTTATTCTTTGAATAAGCCAGCAAAACCTACCTGCTATGGCACTCAGAATTTCTCCTCAAAATAGGGCTATCAGATATAAACTGCCACTAGATTGTAGCAATGATAAATTCTAACTCAGATGTCATGGTTATCTGGAATTATGCAGCTCACATCTGGTATTCCAGATTAAATATATAAGGGGCAATCATTCAGACTGAATTTAAATAATTTAATAATAGTTGACATTGAGTTAAATTTCAATTAACTGCAATTTATATACTATCCACTTACTTAACTTGATTCAACTCCCTTTTGGGATAATAGACCTTGCGTGCCCAAAATGATCTAGTGCAGGGGTGTCAAACTTTCAGCCCTCAGGCTGGATGCGTCACGTGGAATCTGCACCCACCCCAGCTCCGGCAAGGGGAAAAAAAAAGCATGATATGTTGCAACACGTCACGTGACGCAGTGAGTTTGACAACCCTGATCTAGTGCAGATTTCTTGACTGCTCCTGGAGGTTGGACTGCAGGGACCAACTCCTTTAATTGTTCCCAATATTCCAAATTGGAATTATTATATGGAATTGTATTTGCCATTAAAGTGCTAACCAATATAAATCCAGATATTGGGTATGGAGCAATTGTTTTGTTGTTATTGTTGTTGTTACTACTACTACTATTACTACAGTTTCACTACTCATTTATTCCCTAAGCAGTAAAAATTTTATAGCAGATTTTATAGGAACATTTCAAAAAGAAAACTATGAACATCTTGATTTAAAAAAATAAATAAATCACAGCTGTATACATCAAAAGCAACCAGGTGGGGAAATCTAGTTCAAAGAAATGCATCAATCTGTAGATGTAAGAAGACCAGAGTAAAGTACTGCAAAGCTTCTGTCATGTTGAGTCACACAACATTGTATCATGTCAGTACACCATATGTAGTTTATAAGTGAAGATTTCTTTCAGAGCACACTTTGAGTGCGAGCTTAATTAATATGTTTCAAAATGTTTAGGCTTCAGGAATGCAGTAAACAATAATCATCTTGCATGCCTTCTTTTATTTCTATCAATTCCTACATAATTTCTAGAAACTAACTTCTTCAATTCCAGGAGCAGTAACTTCCTCTTTCCATTACAATGAGGTTGAAAGCTCAAGCTCCTTAGTATCATTCTCATAATGATGGATGTTGTTTGAGTGGGTGTGTTTTTCTAAGAAAAATCAAAACTTTTGGAAGTACATTTTAGTAGGAAGGAAGACAGAGAGAATAATTGTATGCTAAATAAATCAGAAAAATGTACCTCAGAGGTGAAGATGGAGTTGGAGATGTGTGAAGAGATCGGGCTACTAGATTTATGCTGTAAATATCCAGACAGCTGTGAATGACAGCAACATGTTTTCTGTATGTCTTTATTGATATCTAGCATCATGCAGTCTTTCAAGGTTAAATCTAGTAGTCACTCTATGTCTGCTTAGGTTAAAGCCTGCCAATATAAACTAATCAGGGTTGTATGATAAACAAAGGGCTGCAGAATTAAAAACAGTGATCTGTTGCTAAAACATTGTGAATATTATAGCTTTACCTGCAGTAAAAGGGTGAGATGTCAAATAATCAGAGGCCTTGGCCCTGCTATTTGCTCCCTAATTTATTTTCTTTCTTTTCTTTTTTTAGATAGAAAATGTACATAGATGAAACTCTAAATGCAAAATTTACGTGGAATTAATCAATTCTCAGACTTCCCTGAAGAATTCAGAAAGATCAGGATCCAAAAATATCTTATAATGACCTCAAAACATGAACATGTTGCTGTAATCAAGTGATTCTAATTGCATTGGAAATTTTAAATAATGGATAAATATATCAGGCATAATTCATCTCTAGTAATTTTTAGTCATGCACATGATCACATGAAATAAATTAGTAGCAATTCCTGACTTCTTCTTTTAAGCTGTTACATTTGTAGTAATTATTCTGGAATTGCTTTATGTTCATCTATGGATCATACAGATCCTCTATTCTAGTTTCATTTGGAAGTACTGTATGTAGCCCACCAATAGTTTAGTGTAGACATTTTATTGCTATCTATTTTTTAAAAAAATGTTTATCTTTTACTTAAAAATGTTTATCTTTTATAAAATATTCATATTGTTTTGCCTAGGAAGGTCAATGGATTTTAATTGAGCTTACTCTTATTTCTGAGCTCAGAAATGGGCAATTTTTTATGGTCAAGAGGCATAATAAACTTTTTTTTTTTTGAGTGATCAAGTGCCACAATGAGTAGTAAAATGCTGTGAAATGAACAGGAGCAGAATTTTACAGAGGATTTGGATAATGGAAGAATTTGCTCCATTAAAAAACTTATTAAGCCTATTTTAAAGATTAGATAGAATGTTTTCTGTGTAAATATTGTCACAAACTATTTCATCAGTTTTCAGCTTTTGCAGTCAGAAACAGCAATAAGACCACAAAAATAGAATTTGGAGGCACATAATCACATACAGTTAAGATTTTTGACAGTTAATGATGTAAATATAAAACAAAACAATCAAGTATAATAAAAGCATATAATCCTAAACCAAAGACTCTGAAAACTTTCCATAGTAACTCACTGGTTTCTAGTCAAGGTATCTAAAATATGTAAGTAAACTCAAAAAGATTTTTCACAAGGTATGAAACACAAATTTAAAATGCTGTTCCACATTCTTTCTATCTCAGAAATGTGCTAAAATCATTAACTTTAATGAGACCTTTTGAATCCATTAATAATTATGTGAACAGTTAGTTTTAATTAATCATCAGCCCATCTTTCTACCTAACAATAATAATTTATATTTTATTTTCATTAGTTTGAATGTTTAGTGGATAGAAATCAGAGCTATTTAAAATAATATATAGTAAAAGCTAAGACCTCATTCATGTTTTACCACTATGAAGAAGTTTCATTTCTTTATAGCCTTTTACTACTTTATTAAGCATGCTAAAATATATGATATAAAGTAATCTAGTATAGAAAGAGAATTTTGCATCTATAATAATGATGATGATGATGATGATGATGATAATAATAATAATAATAATAATAATAATAATAATAATAATAATAAAAGTTGGAAGAGACCTTGGAGGTCATGTAGTCCAACCCCCTGCTCAGGAAGGAAACCCTATACCATTTCAGACAAATGGCTGTCCAGTCTCTTCTCAAAAACTTCCAGTGTTGGAGCATTCCCCGCTTCTGGAGGCAGGTTGTTCCACTGGTTAATTGTTCTGACTGTCAGGAAGTTTCTCCTTAGTTCTAGGTTGCTTCTCTCCTTGATTAGTTTCCATCCGTTGCTTCTTGTCCTGCCTTCAGGCGCTTTGGAAAATAGCTTCACTCCCTCTTCTTTGTGCAGCCCCTGAGATATTGGAACACTGCTATCATGTCCCCCCTCGTCCTTCTCTTCGTTAAACTAGACATACCAAATTCCAGCAACTGATCCTTATATGCTTTAGCCTCCAGTCCCCTAATCATCTTTGTTGCTTTTCTCTGTACTCTTTCTAGATACTCAACGTCTTTTTTACATCTAGTGACCAAAATTGGATGCAGTATGCCAAGTATGACCTTACCAAGGCATTGTAAAGTCGTATTAATATTTCTCCAATATAGCTTTTGCCTCTTTCCCATTGCCATCTAATGTCTAAAGATTATCAATGCTCTCACATTCTTTATAACATAAATTTTTTATAGAATAAAACAGGTCACCCCTTACCAGTAACTACAGTAGATGATACTTATTCATTCTACTTCTAAGATTATCACTAGTAAAGCTAAAGTGATTGAAAATCAGAACTAAAGTGAACCAAAAATCTGAGAGTCAACTAATTACTTTATATATATACACACACATCTATTGTAGCTTCTCTTATAAATCTAACCCTAATTCTATAAATCTGCTGCAGCTTCAAGACATCCTAAAGTGTAGCCAAAAATTTTAACAGAGAAATGTTTATGCTTGTGAATTCAAAAACATAGTCCTAAAATTCTACTTCTGCTTGTTTCAGGTAACGTCTTCATATAGGTAATGGATGTGGCTACTAGTATGATTAAATATTAGACTATTTGTTGTTGTTAATTGCAAAGTCGTGTCCGACCCATCGCGACCCCATGAACAATGTTCCTCCAGGTCTTCCTATCCTCTACCATCTTCTGGAGTCCATTTAAGTTCACACCTACTGCTTTAGTGACTCCATCCAGCCATCTCATTCTCTGTCATCCCATTCTTCTATTGCCCTCAATCTTTCCCACCATTAGGCCCTTCTCCAGTGAGTCCTTCCTTCTCATTATAGAATACAGTATATATCATCATTATTATTAGAACTGCATAACAGCAGCACAATTCTGGTAGAAGTCATAACATAACCAAAAAAGCTTACCAACTTTTTTCTCAAAGTGATTTTTGCCTATATCCTAGCTGAGATCTAAAGATCCCTTTGAAAGATAACCCCAGATTTTAATTTTGCTAACTCCAGTGATATATCCAACATTCTTTTATCAAAGTTTTATCTAATGCCAAGATAAGGATCTTTTCCTCTCTTTAAGAGAGACAACAATATAATTCTGCACGACATGGGGCCAGGTTATTTACAGAACCATCTTTGTCCCATTGTATCAGCCTGTACCTCCCAGTTAGGCAGGGAAGTTATGTTGCAGACCCCATCAATTAAAGAACTCCAACTGACGGGGTCCAGGAAGAGGGCCTCCTCTGCCATTGCCCCCACCCTATGGAATATTCTGTCCCCAGAAGTGAGGCAAGCCTCCATGCTCCTGGCCTTCCGAAAAGGAACAGGCATGGCTTTTTGGCCTCTGTGGAAAGCCCAAAGAAGCATGCAGCTATGAGGTTATTTAGTCCCCTCCTTTGTCTTTTAATTAATTTTAATCTCTTGCCTCCTTTTAAATTATTATATATACTGTTACATATTTTAACATTTTACTATACAGTGCCCAGCATCGCTTTTTGAGGAAGGTGGACAGTACAGAAATGAGATGATAGATAGATCCCAAAGCCATAGCACTGAACTTCATTGTAACCCAACTTACCTTCCAGAGTTTCGCACTGGGCTAAGTTAACATAATCGGAAGCTTTCAAGATTCCAGCTTTAAAGCCTCGGACCAGTCCTTCTAGATAACCATGATCCACATTGAAATAAAATTCTGAGTAGCCTGTCATAATGGAACTCTCCCCTTGTTTAGAAGCTCCTGAGTTTTGTGTTTCTCTTCAGTAGATGATCATCAGAAGGAGCTAGAACTGGTTGGGGTTTAGAGTGAATTCTTTCTTCCTGTTTCATTGTTTCCAATACAAACTAGCTGTGGTTTTCAGTGCTTACACAACATGAACTTACCAGACAGAATTCTAATTTTTTCCTAGAAGAACTGGACACTTCCCTGAATAAGGGAAATCTTCATGAGACAAAGCAAGGAAGCTGTACATTTTTCAAAAATAGATTGGCTCTATCTAACAAGAGTTCTAAAGATTGTGTGCAATGTAGTGCTTCAAAATCTAACTAAATCTGTGTACTCCTACTCCTACTTAAATCTTTGTGTCTGTAACCTTTAACTGGTGAAATGGTGCATCATAGGGCAAAATTTGTCAACAAAGATGCTTCAAATGGGCTAAATTTGAGAAAGAGCAAGGAGGAAGGAAGCCCCTCACACACTTCATGGCCAAGCCATCTCTCTCACACATTTCCCCAACCTGTGCCACTTCCCCTGTCTACCTTCACCAATCTGTACAGCACCTCTTGCCCCCTCCCCAAGACATGCTGCCCCCTCGTGCATCATCCATGATCTGCACAGCATTTTTCACAAACTCCCAGCATTCCCATGACTTCCTCAACCCAGATGGTATGTCTTACACACACACACTTACAATTATGTTTCAAAAATTCAGCATATAGCAGAACCATCACATTCTTTGATTTCATAATTTTAACAATTAATCTAATGTATACTCATAAGCAGATTTCATATTTTTAAATTTATTTTATTTAAAATATTTCTTGTTTGTTTGAATTAAATTCAAAATAGTCTCTTTAAAAGTAGGGGGAAATCTGTTTAGATGATATTAACATCTTTTTTGTCACTTTTTAGCTATCCTTCTTACACTGTGAATCAAGGCAGTATTGTACATAAGGCATGATATATGGCACAAATGACTATTTGAATCCACGTAACCATGTTTTTTTTACATAAATTGTGGTTAAGCTGACTATGAATCCAATGAAAATCTGCTTTTGATTTTGTAACTGCAAGATTCTGCACAAACTCTCTCCCTACCCTACAGATCTTGATAGGTCCTAATAAAAATTCAATTAGGGAGTAAAAGGAACTGATCAATGTAAGATTTATTATTTTTATATTATTTTAATATTGAAAAGACCCACTTTAGATTCAAAACTAGCATGTATGAGTATTTATTTCTATTTGTCCTATGATATTATGAACATTCATGTTTATGTTGCCATTTGTTCTACTTGGGAAAAATTAGATAACATGTTTTTCATAATGTGTGAACACCAGTTTGGAGGACAAAGTAGATTTTAAAAAAAGGAATTGTGAAAAGAAGTAATTCTGTTAATGGAAGAAAATATTTGTAGCTCATACTTGAACTGTGGAGTCCTTGGTGTTTTCCAAGTTTGGTTGTTTTCTTGCAGACATTTAATTACTCATCTAGATAACAGCTCCAGCACTGAAGATGTTACTTAGCTGGGTAGTGAAATTTCTGCAAGAAAATAACCACAATCAGAGTACACCAAGGACCCCACAGTAATTTTATTCTCCCAGCACAGATTCACATTATTCCTCACTGCAACTGTTTTCCTCCTCAAAAAGCCCCCTGCCTAATGATTCCAGTATACTTACATATCTCACAAAATGTATATATTCTAATTTGATTGTCACTGTAACACTCTGATATTTTTTTTCTCATGTTAAATCACTACTTTATGATAAACTGAATTTTACTTTCTGCATATGACCAGCAGGGGTCTCCCCAACACCATGACAAAAACCCACAATACTCTTCAGGTGGAAGTAATGAGGAAGAATTTTAAAATCTGAGTTGTTTCTAGTCAAGAAGCAACTTGCTTTGATTTTCTATATATTTCTGTGTTTCCTTATAATGTATTCATTTTTTTTCCATCGCACTGTTTTCTGTCTGGGGAAGATAGTGTTGGCAAACAGCAGGTGACAAAATGATCTCTGAGTAACTGGTACTTCCCACACAAATATATGTGGTTTGAATCAGGAGAAGCAAATGGAAAATGAGGTTTTTTTTAAATCATGTGGCCACAGGATCTACTTATTCATCTTAACTGAAAAATTGATTTTGTTAATTTCTTCTTGAAAGAAAGCAGATTATGAATTGTTCTAAGACATCAATAAAATAAATAGCTTCCTTTTTACAGAACAAGGTTATACCATGTGTTGGCATAGGCTGCTTTATTATTTTTTTCTTAGCATGTTTTCAGTCAAAATAAGGGAGAGGAGACCTTGCTAAATGAAGATCTTGCTGATTGCACCAATATTTTTCTAAGCTCTGCAAAACATTAATATGCAAACTCATCCCCTGACATCTTACAGGATAATGAAAATGCTTCAGGCAGCACCTTAAGAAGGGAGAGCAGGTGGGTATAACAAGGAAGTTTAACTCTATTATTAAATTGTGCCATGGATAATTAAAAAGCAGGTTGGGTTGAGATGTTCTGCAGTCTTTCAAAGTAGCTGCTGCAATATGAAACCTCTACTTGCTGACTGGCCCACCCTTTTACCTAGTCCAAAGGTATACAGCACTGCCAAGAAGTATTAGACATGGTGGAAAAGAGAATAGGACAAAGCCAGAAAGAAAGAAAGCAACCATAAAAGATTTCATCTCTTTGCTGTCTGAAATTCTGGACATTGCTTTAAATTTGCAAGACACCAGTTTGCAGAAAACTTTTTTTTTTTAAATACAAGCAATGCTATTAAATATAATGGAGGTGCAACCATCAAAAACATATGTTGATGGATGAGTGCCTTTCAGAAAGTATTGGATTTCTGCCTCATCAGGTACAGTAGTGACTGTTTGAAGTTACAGTGGTTGTGAAAAAAGTGACTAACAACCCATCCTCACACTTGCAACAGCTGCAGCATCATCCTTCTCATGTGATCAAAATTCAGGCACTCGTCCACCAACATATATTTTTGATGGCTGCAGCATCCTGGAGTCATGTGATCACCAGTTGTGACCAAGCAAAATCAATGGGGAAAGGAAGCCAGATTCACTTAACAACTGCATGATTCACTTAACAACCATGGCAAAAGAACAAAAGAGGTCGTAACATTGGGTACAATTCATCTAACTTGCTTAGTATAGAAATTCTGGTCCCAACTGTGGTTGTAAGTTGAGGACTACCTGTATACCATAATACCGTGAATGACAATCTTCATGAAGAACCATCCAGCACTGTACTGATGCTGTTAATCCAGGATTGGGCTAACCAGAAAGGGCTTACCTGCCCAGGTGAGCTTTTCTGAACTCTAGTGTTCACTTGTCTTTTAGCCCTTTCTTGATTTGTTCTCCATTTCTAAATTCTTCCACAGCTCTGTCTTCTGTTTCTCCCTGTCATGGATGCTGAGAATATTTCATGCAATTTATTTGCTGAAGCTTTGGGATAGATGTAGTCCTGCTTAGTCAATCTATCAGCTATGAGCAAATGAACGATTATCTTATTCTCTTGAATGGTTGGGGATTATAATAATTGAAACCCAATAGATCAGGAGGAGCTCCAGGCTGTTGATGGGTCTCTAAAATATTACATCCTGGAGTCATTAGTTGAGCTAGGAAATTTAAATATTATCTATGTTAATATTCTCAGTCGTGTAATAGTGATTTATTGTGATATTTTTAATGGTGTGGAGTACAATTAAGGCTGATCTTCCCTCCTTCCCATAGCACACCAACTTTTTCAGGCTTTACAATGCTTCTACACAAGCAAAAGACAATTTGTAAAGTTAACCTTGTTCATCACATATTCTAAATTGTAGCACCATTGTGACTATGGGACTTTTAAGTTTGTTTCTTTTGCCCAAATCTTTAAAAAAAAAACCTGCTTTGGAAATAAGTACTATTTTGCTGTAGAAAAAAGAAATATCCATAAACAGAATAAAATGAGCATCTGGAAACATATACATGCCTTGATCATTCTAAAGCAGAGGTCCCCACCTTTTGGGAACCAGGGACCAGTTCTGTGGAGAAAGGTTTTTCCATGGACCAGACAGTCCATAGTTTTGTGTGCTGCCTGCGTTCCTTGGATGGGGCTTTGCTTATTTGTGTGGACCAGCTGCTGGCATGCCGTGGCCTGGTACCGGTCCACGGCCCAGTGGTTGGGGACCCCTGCTCTAAAGCATATTTGAAAAGAAGAAATGGTTCAATGACGAGCATCCTCAAACTCATTAAGGCTTGGCATTACAGTGTCGCCTCAGATTGTCACGATAACATCTAGTTGCACCACTATTTAGAATATTATGGAACTTTTAAAGTAGTGGCTTGAAAGAGCCAACAACCTGTCTGCCATCTTAGATACTACAGAATCCAGACTTCACAAAATGACAAAAAAAAGGCTTATGTCATCTTAGTTCAAGCTCTGCCTCTTTCATATGCACAAAAAGGGTGAAACTTACAGGTTATTGGCATAATGTCTTTACTTGTCCCCCTCAGCTCCAGATACTTTTAAAGCAGAATTTAGCCAGCCTTCTGAAAGAGTAACCATGGCAAGAACTGTTTAGAATTGCCTGTTTTTTCCAAGTTGCTCTTTAGAATCCCTCTTTTGGAAATGTATCAAAATAAGTGGAGGAGAACTCTAAAAGAAGACTTTAGATAGTATTAGCCATATAATGCATTGCAATAACTCAAGCAGATAAATCACCTGACATCCTCCGAGGATACTCCTTTAAAGCACACTTCTAGAAGAATATAATTGAGGGTATTTTTAGCAGTTTAAACTATTCTCATTAAACTGTACCTAAGGATTGCCTGTTAAGCATTTTTACTTGCATTTTATCAGCTGTGATTTTTTTTTGCAAGAAAATATATTTGATTAATAGAGCCATAACGAATCACAATGAAAATTTTTTAGAAAATATATAACCATAGGCAAAGACTGTATATTTAATGATCAAAAAATGGAAGGAAGCAATGTAATGTTTATTTTTAAAAAGTCTCATTTATATTTTATTCATGTTATTAACATCCACATTCCAGGTTAGAAAAGAACATTAAAAAGGTTTTATCTATACTAATTGAACTATGGAAAGGACATGCACATGTTTATATGTGCAAACAAGTATCCATAAGCAGATTAACTTATAATTCAGAAGCTTTCTAAGGTAGGTTCAAGATATTCCATGTAGTCCAAAGTTTCATTTTGCAATTAAAATGCAACACATATCTATTCTAGTTGAACTCTCCCATAATATATCTAAC